TTCCTGCTGCTGTAATAAAAATTTCTACATTTAGCTATCTTCAAAGTTGGTTGGAGATACCTGGTAGAGTGATCAGTTAATTAAGCTCATGCCCCATATTTAGAAATCACAAGGCTTTACTGCTAAGCGAGGGATAACATTGATGACTGCAAACTTTGTAGTTATTGACTGTTTGATGTGAACTTTCTTTTTTTTATCCTTTTGCTTTAACATACAAACATAAACTTCAGCTCAGAGTGCTTCCTTCAAAAACAGTCAGGACAGCTAGATATGAAATGCAATTGTAAATGGACTACTCTCCTGGATTCTGTCTGTGTGATTCCTTGGCTTTTTCTTTAATGCTTGATCTTTTTTCCAGCTTGAAGGATGGCATTTTTTTTCTCATCTATACCCTGAAAAATTATACTCGTGATGTGTGTACTCCTTAGTTTGCTTTTTATTTCTTTTAATCTTCTTTCTTTGAAAGATGACTTCTATTTGAATACTGCTTGCTTGCGCTCCTCAGTTTCCAAATTTGTACAACAAGAGGAAGGGTCTTACATTAAAAAACAAGCAAACAAACAAAAACAAAGCAAAGCCCATCATAATGATTAGCAGCTATTTGTATTTTTGCTCCTTTAATGTAGTAATTCTTATATATTGTCATGCTGATAACTGTTTAATTAAGGCATCTATAAAATTTAGTATTTTTGTTTATCAATATTGTATGTGATCATCTTCTTTCTACAGCCAACAGTACTCCATTCTCTTCGGGTAATCTTCACATCATTATTTCTAATCTTTCACAGAAACAACTAGTTGTGATTACCTGCTTATTTAGATCATATAATCATAGAATGCTTTGGGTTGGAAGGGACCTTTAAAGGTCATCTAGTCCAGTCCTCAAGATCAAGTGTAAGGTACATTAACTTTCTTATTACTGCAATTATATTTCAGCAGTTTGTGATCACTAAGAATTTCTGATCATGTGTTCATTGTAAAAAAGCTGTTAGAATATAGGAGTACATGTAGGGCTTCTTGGAAAAACATGTGTTTTTATTCATCTTATCATACAGCTGACATCCAAAACATACAAAGTCTAGCTTTGCTCCATAAATAACCTAAGGCTGTTCTTGATTAAAGCTGTTTCTGTTGATTTTATTGAACACACTCATTGGCAATATTTTCTGTAGCTTGTTTTTAAATTAAATATGTGCAGATCTGTAAGATTTTATCTTGAACAAAACCTAGGTATCAGGTTAAAGTAAAATGTTGTCCCATGTGAACAATGCAGACAGGTTAAACTTTTACTTGAACTGAAGTGATTTTTAGCTGGAGCTAAAAATTCTCATTACAGGGAGTTGAACTCATCACCTTAGAAGAAAATCGCAAACTCTCCCCCATCCTTATAATCTTGTGACGATGGTTTAATCATGTTCACGGCTTTCTTTCCACTCTAGGTCCTCCAGCACCTCAAACATATTGAAACACAGGAAGTACAGATCTGTGACTATGAGAAGAAAATAGAAGAGTCTGTGATTAAATTACAACAGCAACAAAACCACTGTGAAACTGTGAGAACAGAGAGGAACCTGTACAGTAAAAGTCTGATTGAAGCTAAGGTAAAAGGATATGGTTTTCCTTGTGTTACTTTCTCTGCACTTGTTTGTTTTTTCTGATCTATTTTTAATTTGTTAAAAGGATAGCTCACTGAATAAATGGCAGAAATGGTTTCTTCATTCCAGTGTGTTTTGGGAAAATGAAAGTTTTAGGTCTCTGACATTTTATTTGGACAATTTGTGTATTGACTGGAAACAGGAGTCCACAGTCATGTGGCAATATCATAGCATCATAGAATCATAGAATGTTTTAGGCTGGAAGGGACCTCTAGAGGTCATCTGGTCCAACATCCCCACACAAGCAGGGACATCTCTACCTAAGTCAGGTCACCCAGGGCCCTATCAAGCCTGACCTTGAATGATTCCAGGGTTGGGGCCTCCACTACCACTCTGGGCAGTACATTCCAATGATCTATTACTCTTATATTACAGATTTTTTTTTTCTAATATCCAGTCTAAATCTACCCTTTCCTAGTTTAAAACCATTACTCCTTGTCCTAGCATTACAAACTCTTTTGAATAGACCTTCACCTGCCTTCATGTTGGCCCCTTCAGGTACTGGAAGGTCACTATAAGGTCCCCCCAGAACCTTCTCTTCTCCAGGGGGAACAGCCCCTACTCCCTCAGCCTGTCTTCATATGAGAGGTGCTCCAATCCCTTGATCATTTTGGTGGCCCTGTGGACTCGTTGATCCTTGGGGATCTCACTAACAGTACTAGATGAAGAGAAGAGATCACTTAAGCATACATCCTGTTATTCTCATGTAAAAATCTAAAATACTACACAAATCCTATTACAAATGGCAGAGATTAGGACCTTTTTTTTTTTTTTTTTCTAATATACAACATAAATTTCCTTACTTATAGAGAACTGGCATCTATGTGCTGAGTTACAAAATAAAGCAATGAACTCATCAGCTTTTTCAGGTTTTGTGTTATATGGTGATATACACAATGGTGTTCACAGTTCCAGAGCTGAGCCTTTGTTAGTGGCTGGTGTTTAGACTTTAATACTTGGTTTAGTAAGTCCTGTATGAAAAGACAGCTGACCCCAAAAAAACTTTTGGCCAAGGCAATATTATGTGTAGCAGTGAAAAAATAGCCATTTACCATTTAGTAACAGGTCAGCCAGCCAAGAAATAAGTAAAAGAGGGTTGTGGTAAAAATTACAGTAAATAATTTTACACAAATTCACACAAGCTTGTTTAGATGAAGCTAGATGTAAGTATTTTTCAATTGCTTAATGTGGAAAGATCCCTTGTTGCCTACCTTTCTAGTGTTCTCGAGTACTATAATGTTCAGCTTGGTAAAATCTCTTGGAAAAGACATGCTGTCAGGCTGTTAATATGAGATAAATATTGGATAACTGCCTGATGGGGTTTCTTTTGGTGTTAAGAGGTTATTTGTTTAAGCAAGTTGATTAGGAGACATATTTGCAGAAATTGTGTGTTCTTCCTGTTCTTCATTAAATATGGGATTTGGAATGTATTTGCATATGTGTCTGGGCACTGTATTTTAAATCTCCCTCATCTTTTACAATATTGAAGGGATTTATAGGGTGTTTAGCAAAGATAGCTTTTAATATGGCTTTTGCATTTGCCGGAGTGGCTGAGCATGCAAGCAGGGGAGCCTGATGGCATATTGCTACATTTAGTTCTGGTTCATTTAATTTGCCAAATAGGTGTGGAGCCCACAGATCTTGTTTTTGAGGGCTGCCAGACTACTAACCAGTATTTTCTCCTACTGTTTGTTAAGAACGTCATGATTCTATGTTAAACAGAACTATGTTATGCATGTCATGCAAGTAAAAGTCACCCATTTGTCAAGTAAATCCACACCTATGGTGGGCAGTGCTGAAAAAGCTCTAAGTTACCCTGTTTTACTGCTGAAACAATGTACTACAATGTCTTCTCTGACGTGGCAGGCTCTGGCAGAGGAATGATAGCTTCTAAAGCTGCTTAAATTAGGTCCAGAAAAGCACGTCTGTCTAAGCATTGCATTTATTAGCTTCCATTTCATGATGCAACGTGTGCCATCACCGCAATGAGTTGCAAGAGTTTCTTAATTTTGTTGGGGCAGGACCCCCTGTGCTGTGAGTAGAAGTGTTCCTAGTGACCTGATCTCTCTGCAGTGCTGCCAGTCTTCCAGCTTAAAATACATGCTAAATATTCTCATACCAGGGCCTTGTCAACATCTGAGTACACTTTTCCCCGTTGTACTTATGTGCAAGCTATCACACAGACAAAACGGAGAGAAGCATTTCCTATACCCCCTTGCAGGCATATAGGCATCTTAATTATGGGTATGCATGAAAACAGATGGACAGGATCAGAATCTTACTAATTTGGATGGACTGCTAGTTCTTGTGCCCGGCACTCCAAGTGGATTATTATACTCAGAACTGATGGTCATTATTTTTGTCAATGTGTCTTTTAAAGGCTTTTTAACTGTAATGTCATGCTGGCATAAACAAAAAAAAATTGTCTTAATGAAACTGTTTTGTTCTGTTGGATTAAAAAAAAATGTCTTGTGGTATGTACAACAGAGCTCCTCTCAAGCACTGTGGCTACATATTCCAACATCAAAATAGCCTGAACTCCCAGCCACAAACTAGCTCTTTTTGACACCTCTCTGTGGTCACATTTTCTGTCCTATTAGGATGAAATAGCAGAAATGACAAACAAAGTGAAAACTTTGACACGTCAAGTGGATCAGCTGAAAGAGGACGTCATGGGCAAAGAAGCAGCCCTTGTGAAAGCACATCTAGAACATCAGCAAATAGAGAAGGAGAAGGAATCACTGAAAGTAAGAGCTGTTACATATACCCTGTTTTACAAAGGATGGTTCCCATGATTCCACAGACTGCATTACGTTCCCTGTCTGTAGTGGTTGGTTTGCTGTTTTTAATAAACTATTCTGTTATTGAAGCACAAGATCTCAGTATCCTTTAGAAGTATTAGTTACACAGATCTTCCATGTATCTGACAAATTTGATCTCTGCCTATAATTATAATCAGGAAGGTGCTGGATTGTCTGTTGGAAGCTTTAAATCTTTTGGTGACTGAACATTTTTGCTAAAACCTTCCATTTTGCTTGCAGAAATGTGGATTTTGGGATAGCCTGATTCTAGCAAACCTTTTAATATAGACCCTTATAGTTCAAGCTTTTATTTTAAATTTTTTTTTCACTCTGCCATTTTTAAATGCAAACCCCACTACGTTACACTTGATAACCTTGTATTTCTATATGACTAGCAAACATGAGTCTTAAAGTTAGGCCATGCCTTTTAGTAGGTCCCTCTGCACAGAAAATTATTTTAATAATGTGGTATAAAGCAGCAAAAATCTGTTTTAAATTGAAGGATATCTGAGCTTGAAGTTCTGGTTCTTATATTCATCACTGGTTGAAGCCCATCCTTAGAGAAGCTATTAGATTTGTGGTGGTATCTCAACACAATCTGCTGAATCAAAAGATTTAAGGAGTTACTGTCCACAGCAGCTTATTTTTAATCTTCGTTAGGCACTAGGAAAAAAAAAAACAAACCAGGAAACAATCAAAACCCTGCAAAAACAAAAGTCCCCTGCCACTTTCCACAATGTTTTCTTTTGTCAGTTTATTGCTATGCTGCAATGACTTCTTGAGATTTCAGCCCCTCTCAGCACATTACAGTTATGACAAGATGTCAATAGAGCTTTGCAAATAGGTAATGAATTTGTGTTCTTGTACCTGATCTCTCTCAGAGTTGTTCTATCAGTGATGGAGAAGTCAAACAGTGTCTTATTTCCTGTGTGCAGCTTTCTGCCTTAACTAGTCCCAAGTTCTGACTCATCGCCTCAGAACTGTCTGCCATCCATTTGACAAACATATGATTGCAACATGGTTTACCCACTCACTCAATTATTCACTAGCAGGTATGTCCATACACTGACATCACACTACTGAATAGCTTCAGGGCATCGTGGTCTTCTGCCTGAGTGTCTCTGCTGAATACTAAAGCAGAAGAGAACTCAAAGAGGGAGATGATTGACATAGTCACAAAAGAACCCAATTATTTGTGTAGCAAGCAGGCTTCAATCTGTCCTGTTTGCAGTAATGTGAAGGAAGGAAGGAAGCAAGCTGTTTCTGCAAAATCAGTTTAAAGAACACACTAAATCATGGAGGACTGGGATTCATAGGAATGAGGTTATACACACATTCTATTTCTGCTTGCCCTGGCTGGCATAAAGATCTTAAAAATGTGTGATCATGGTAAATGAAACAGAGGACACCTGACCCAAGCTCCATTTAAGCCAGTTCAATGCCATCTTTTGGTTTCAGTTGGCCTTCATACAGCCTTGTGAGTCAGACTGGTTTGAAAAAGCATCCAGATGTTGAAAAATGAGTATCTGAAAGCTGTAAGAACTATGGCCCTCCAGCTTTGCGCTGCTGTCCAATGCTTTTGTATATTTTTGTGGATGCTTGTGCATGTCTTTTTTACATTTTCTAGAAATCTAGATGTAAAACCTCAGACTTGTTATTTCAGCAATTTATGTCCAGACTCACTTATATCTTTTATAAAATTAATATTTTGCTCCCACCTCTAGAAAACAAAAAAGCCCTCTTCACATATGCTAATATTTCAGATTCTAAAGAATTTGGTTGGAATTAAGTTTGAGCTATTGCCATAGGTCCCACAGAAATTCTTCTTTCTTGCTGACTGTTCTTCAGTTCTTACAAACTCTCTGAACCAACTTCAAATGAGCTCTGCTGATTTACAGCAGTTTCAGACCTGACTATTTTTCTGCTTGCACAGTAACTGTTTATTCATTTCCTTTTCTCTTACATAATGTACACAGTCCCTCAAACTGTAATTTTTAGCATATTTAATCTAAGTGAAAGTCCTGTTAGCTTGTGAGGCCTCTGTGTGGCTTAAAGTATTTGTGTTCTTTACTATACAATGCAGTTCAGATTTATTTTAACTGAGTGCATTCCAATGAGGAGATTTGTTTATATGAATGTTAGCTGCCGAGATCTAATGCCACTTCTTGTTTACAACTCATATTTTTTATGACATAAGGAGAACATAGAATTTTGATATATTAAAAAAATATTATGCAGCAATGACAAACGCATGAGCAGTTTTACATTTGTAGACAGATTTTGCAGAGTGTTGATTGCATTTCGATGTGAAGTGGCTTGCATTTTTATTTGCTGATGGATTCTGATGAACATCTAACACTGAATAAGAGAGATGTAAGTGTTGCACATTTGGAAAATGAAGATTTTATTAAGGAAAATAAGAATGGAACAAGCTATTTTATGATGATGATGATGGAACTGTTTCTGTCTTAAATCAATGTTTTGCTGGTGCAGCCTTCATCACAGCCACATTCTTTCAGCATTGGATGATGCCCTTTCCCAAAAAGGCAGCTTGAATGTCATCCTGTATTCAGGGTCAGTTGTGGCAAAGTCTTTGAGTCAAGGCTTGAAAGTTTTCATACCTGTGAAGATGGACTGTAGTCAGCTGCTTCCATTTTGACTTTAATAGCCTAGCAATGATAGAAATTTCTAATAATCCAACAAGACCCTATTAGTTTTTATTGACATGCAGGCCTTGTATTATAGAGTTCATGACAGTGGGATAGAATTATCAGGCATGTTCCAGTGTTAGTTGATGTTACTGTAACAGTGCATTACTTCTGCACTTAAGAACAACCCTTCTTTTGCTAGTCTTACTCATCGACACACCCACTAAAGTGCTAGGGCTCTTTAATTTGGCTGTTCCATGCCTGGCTGCCATCTTCACTACCAATTCTGTTATTTTAGTCTGAAGCCTGTCCCGAGCTGATGATGATTTGTATTACATAGCATAGATTGTTGCCCTTTCCAGCAAGGTGAACTATTCTTTCTCACATCCCAGACTGACTTTGAACTTTGAATAGCAGCCCCATTGAAAAGCTTTCCAAATATGAGCTATTTAATTTTTGCAAAATTGTTATTAAATGAGGTGTCCCTGAATTACAATTTGAACCATTTTCATAGATAAAAATCTGCTAAAATTTCTATTGTGTCTAACATTATATTAAAATCCTGATTACAGATTTCTTTATGGGTCTTCATGCATGCTTGTGTTGGTGACCTTTTCTGAAAAGCTAACAATTTATGTGCCTTTCAGGAAACTAAAAGAAAGTATGCGACTTAATAAAATCCTAACTCTTAATCCCTGGTTTCTGTAATGGGAGGATGTTACTAAGCACAGTTTACCTATATTCTTTGCCTCCATCAGGCTGAACTGCTTAAGATGAAAAAGCAGGCTCTGGAAACCAAATGCTTTATAGAAAATCAGGAGGCAGAAGAGAGAAGACTCCTAAAAATAATTGCTGAAGCTGATGCTGAGAGACTGAAGCAAAATAAGGAACTTGAACAGGTAGGAAGCTCTAATTTGGCTTTTCAAATGCTGCATTGTGTTCCCTCTTTTGTCCAGTGTCTTTTTAAGATCAAGATGCTAAGATACTGTAAATGTGGTACTTCTAAAGCTTTATAGTGCCATCGAAATGCAAATGCTAAGGTATTGAAGTGATTGGAATGTGTAGCTTATACTATTCAGCTAACTGAACCCCTACTAGGGAGACAATTAGGCCCTTGCCATATGCTTTCACTAGTAACAGCACACGTGGTTTTGACTGGTGCAAATATACTCATGATACTTTGGGATTGTCCTGAGGATCTATAATTCAGATTATTGCTTTGCCCTGTGTCCTTAGGTTATCAAAGCAAGAGATATCCTGGGGTCCCAGCTTGTTCGGCGCAGTGATGAAGCAGCCCTTCTCTATGAAAAGATCAAAATTCAGCAGTCCATCTTAAACAAGGGTGAAGCCCAGTACCGGCAGAGAGTGGAAGACATCCGACTCCTCAAACTGGAGATCAAAAACCTTCAGCGTGAGAAGGGAATACTGGGCAAGAGTGTAGCTAACGTGGAGGAGCTCAGGTAGCAAAACTCAATACATTTCTATGGGACTGCATCCATGATTCTGTGTTGGAGAGAGAAAATGGTTTATGCATGGTAAAGATTTGTACCAACAAACTCTTATACCTTGGAGAAAGGGATTGTTTGGTTTGACCTCAACCACAGACTGGATTAAAATGACAAAACAATCTATCAGTAATTAGGAAAATTACTATGTAAGAAGGACGAAAGGAGATAAAAAAGAGACCTCGGCTAAAGTTGAAATATCTTTTGTATTTCCCCTTATACTGTGAATTACTGACTACAGAATAAACTTGACCGACAGCATCACCAAAGGTGTCTGTAGCTCCATGAGCTACTTAGTGATATCCGAGGCCCAAATTAGTGGAACTGCTTTTTATTAGGCAATGCGCAGAAGATAGGGAACACTTGACATATTTACTGCAAACCCCTGCACATTTCAAAGCTCTCTCCTTCCAGATTTATATGCAGACTTGCTCTCTGAGAAAGATTTAGTTAAATTTTCATTGAAGCTTGTGTTTCTTTAAAACAGAGGTTTGATAGTCCCAGCCTGATTTATCTCCTCCTTCTCTGGCTTAATGTTTCCCTTTTTTTGCTTTTAAGCTCTCCTCTATATAAGGTGCATTATTTGCTGAAGGGAAACTATTGTTATTTTCTATAGACTCAGTCTTGGTTCGTAAGGAGAGGCAGCTACCTTTAACAGGTAACAGTCATATTAATTCTATGTAGCTACCACAGTTTTGGGCATAATCTTTAGCTTAATTGTATCAGTATAATTCTGTGGCTTTCACCAGAGGAAATTAACTTCAGTCTCTGGTCAGTCCCATCGACTCCAGTGGAATTATGCCAGTTTGATTTGGTGTAACAGAAAGGAGAACTGGGCACAAAACATTAGCAATTGCAGTTTTCATCGACTGATTGCAGACAGAAATAGGATTTGAACTTGCTGCCCAAATGCACTCAGCTGAAGTCTGTTACTGTATTGAAACTCGGTGATGGTATTGAAGTATAGTGCCATGCATGCCAGGACAGTGGATCAATTCTTGCTAACTGCAGCAGTAGTCACGTGCTTTAATGAAGTCCAAAACCATCATGAAAACTGCCTGTCAAAAGACTCCATTTATCACCTGTGCTGCTAATTGGCTTTCTTGATTTGCCAGTTGGAGATGGGGGGGTTCTTCCTCTTCTGTAACCTAGTTCAACCTCACAGTTAAAAAAAGACCTTTTTCTCTCTGCTGAGCTGAATGCAACTCTGAGCTTATCAGGAAAAGATTCAGTGGTAGAGTAGGCATATGGTGATCCTCCACCTCCTTTCCTCTTGGAGCACTTACAGGATCTGTCCACTAAAGTGATAAGGGTCAGGCCACTGCAAAATGTGCCTTGTTCTCCCTGCCCCTTGCCCTTGTATCCCCACTGTAAAAGCCTCGTTGTCAAGGCGTCTTGGGAGTGCTCAATTCATTTCAGATTTATCAACAAATCACCCCTGAAATTTCTTGGGGAAGAGATTGAGAGTAAAAAAAAATTAAACAAATTCTCTAAAAAACAGTGTCTGTCATACCCTAGGCCCTAGAGTGTGAGCCATTTTCTATGTTTAGCCTGTATCTGGGCATAAACTACAGCAGTTGCTCTGTGACCCAATGACCCTGTGGCTAGCCTATGATTCTCTCCCACTGAAATCAGGATGTCCATGTAGATTTAAAACCTTCTTTCAAACACAACCTGTTAGATTCAATACAGGGGTAACTGGATATGTCTCCATAACTGATTTGTAGGATACTCTAAATGAATTGGTTGTCCTTCTGGCCTTAATGTACACGGGAAGACACAGGCAGTGAGATCCAGTAGGCTGTGCAATAAATTAGAATCATAGAATCGTTAAGGTTGGAAAAGACCTCCAAGATTATCAAGTCCAACCATCACCCAACACTACCATGACCATTAAACCATGTCCCCACGTGCCACATCTACATGTTTTTTTAACACCTCCCGGGATGGTGACTCCACCAACTCCCTGGGCAGCCTGTTCCAGTGTCTCGCCACCCTTTCAGTAAAGAAATTCTTCCTAATATCCAATCGAAACCTCCCCTGGCGCAACTTGAGTCCATTCTTTCTTGTCCTATTGCTAGTAACCTGGGAGAAGAGACCAACACCCACCTCACTACAACCTCCTTTCAGGTTGTTGTAGAGAGCAAAAAGGTCTCCCCTCAGCCTCCTCTTATTCCAGACTAAACAGTACCAGTTCCTTCAGCTGCTCCTCATAAGACATGTTCTGGAGACCCTTCACCAGCTTTGTTGTCCTTCTCTGGACCTGCTCCAGCACCTCAATGTCCTTATACTGCGGTGCCCAAAACTGAACCCACTACTCAAACTGTGGCCTCTCCAGTGCCAAGCAGAGGGACACAATCACTTCCCTAGTCCTGTTGGCCACACTGTTTTTGATACAGGCCAGGATGCTTTTGGCCTTCTCGGCCAGCTGGGCAAATTCTCCAGGAACTGATGAAAAGTCCCTTTTCTGAGCTATTCTTACTAAAATGAATGAAGAGGCCTGATTGTTTCACCTGTTTGGTGGTATCAATGTCAAATATTAATCGCAAGAGTCACTTTTCCATACTGTTGTGCAAGAGCAAATGATTTGTTATTGTCCCTATTAGTGCCTTGGTCACACTGATGTGGTTTATATGTGGTGTGTATTATATTTTTGTTTTGTTTTGTTTTGTTTTGTTTTGTTTTGTTTGTTTTATGCTGGTCTTAAGACAAGAGGTCCATCACATGCAGAAAGAACTGTTAAGGAAACAGGCTCGGTGCAAAGTTTTGGAAGAAGAACTGGAGAATCCCTTGAACGTTCACAGATGGAGAAAACTAGAGGTGATGTGTCAGCAGTTCAAGTTCCCAAAGCCCATATTACTAAATCAGTGACACAGCACAAAGCCTATTTCATTTACTGTTATGCAAATTATGTGGAGGGGCAGGCAGACCAACATTTCCATAGTACCAGTGGAATGGTTAACTGCATGAATGATTTCCTAGCACAATGCAATCAGTGTTATTTTTTGTGTCACTTTCTCAATGAAAAATTGCAGAGGGATTTGTAAGGAGCCAGTCAAGTGCTAAAGGGAATAAGAATGCATAAGGTGAATTTAGAGGAGGGTGATTCCTTAACATGGATGATGAGAAAGAGGATGATAGGGGAAAGATACAATCCTACCCTCACCAATTACAGAGGTGTATATGGGAAGAAAGCTGGCATTAGAAAAGGTCATAGAACAGGTGACTGGGGAATGGACAAATATGAAGTCAGAACGTAAATTACATCTGTGAGAAAAGGAAGAGACCACCACATAAACAGTGGTGGGCTCCTGAAGATAGACATTCCAGGTAATGTGAGGTCAACTGTTACATAAGCAGCAAATCTAAATTTTCACACTATTTGAACCTGCCAAATGAAGGAGGGGGGGAAACTGTAAAGAGTAGACCAAATATATGAACATCAGTTGGCATCACTAGATATTTTTGAAGTAAGTCAGAGCCAGCTGAGATTTCTCTGTTGCATAGATCTCTGATTTGATGCCAGACTGGGTTGCTTAACTGCTCTCATAATGAGTGGTAACATGCTAGTCCCTACAGAAGCAGAGCTGAATATTTTGGCTGTTTTACTAGCATGATAGTTAATTTCTAATCCTTCCATGCTGAGCTTAAAGCTGAACGGTGTGCTTAGCTTTACTCATGGAAGGGAGATAAAATGCAGGATGCTGAACTAGGTTAAGGGCATCTAGGTACAACCTCCAGCAGCACCATGTAACAAAGGAAAATCAAACCAGTCAAAACATCCAGTGTTGTGAGGATGAATGTATAAAGAGACTGCTAATGGGAAATGATGTCTTTCCATTCTAAGTCACTGGTTTATTTTTGGAACACAGAAAGGCCAGCAGATGGCAAGATCCATACAAAATAATCCTGATGGGGTTTTGGTTCAATTCCTAATGAACTAACACCCTCATATCACTACAGTTGTCACAAATTGGCACCACGTTTGGGCAGTACTATAAAAAAAAAAACAAGGACTGGGTGGGACATAGGGACTGAACTGCTTTCTAGACTGGTTTCTCAGGAAATTATGTTGTTTTGTGAGCACTGCATGCATATCAGTGTTAGTGTCCCAGTTAAACTTAACTGATTAGTCAGTTTAGACACAATCAGGTAAAAGATTAAGAGCTATGAGATACCAGGTTCCTTATAAACTCAAGCAAATACACAGAGAGCAAGACATTTTTGGAGCCTTGACTGTGGTGTGACTTTAATCCTTATGAGACACCACATAAGAGGGGGGAAATCACATATGAGAGACTGATTGTGAGTCCTCAACTGAGGAAAAGCTCTGGTCAGACTTTGCTCTTCATTAAAAGATACAACAAGAAGATGCAAAGTGTGGGAAATTAAGCTTTGCTGGCTAATCCTCACAGAATTATCCATTTGCTTCTTAGAGCTTCCTCCAGGTACAATCTCTGACAAAAGAATTAAAAGGGAAGGAGAAGGCAGAGACATCTAGCTCCTGATGTTTACAGGCTATGTAGCTAGAGGGCATTGCTGTGGTGCCTACACTCTGTCACCTTTTTAAGCCCTTAATTCCATTGAAGAATGACATTCCACACATATGGACACTTTCAATCCTCATAATTCATCAATGTACCCCCTTAATTCGTTCCTATGAACTTCTCAACATATTTCAAGACTATATTGTGGTTCCTCTTTCTTTTGCTCAAGGGAAAAATCTTCTCCTTAAAACTCAGTTGGCACTCTTTGAACTTTTTAAAGCAGTGGGAAGTACTTGCACTGCTCTTCATTTGTCAGTGGGCAGTTTCAGTTTCTGCTAAAACTGATACACCTAACCGTCTTCTCCTTCCCTGCCATGTGGTTCTACTGAACTTTGTTGGTTTGGGGGTTAAGCTGCGAAGGACTCCTGTTTATATTAGCTGTTTTAGGAGGATTCATGAGGATTCTAGTGCTAAATATGAGCATGCTCCAACTGATCTTCAAAAGACAGAGGTCAGTTTCAGGATTCCCTTTATACATACCACTAAAAAAACCCAAACCAAAACCAAACAGAACACTACCACCTGATTTTATGTTTGTCACTTTTGAACACTTAGATATTACAGTTTTCATCTGCAAACAAGAAACACTAACTTATTACAATGCATAATTTTTGAAACTGCTTTGCTCTTGTCTAGGCCAGTGACCCAAACACCTACGAGCTGATACAAAAAATACAGAGACTACAGAAGCAGCTTATCAGCAAGACAGGTGAAGTGATAGAGAAAGAATTGCTTCTTCAGGTACTGCAGCATCATTATTTTGTTGTACCTTATTAACATATTTGTCTTACTCTGCATTCTGTGTCTACTCAGATGTGCTTCCTGAATGTTATCTAGATGCATGACTTGAAATTTCTTTTGCATGCCCCTTAGATAGCTTTAGATGGCAGCACTGGCTCACTGAAAGAGGACAAATAGCATCTCATTAGTTGATTTTTATATTCTGGTTACTGATACGTTGACAACTCTGGAAAAGAAAGGTTTGCTTTAGTTTATTCACATCACAGATTAGTCTTCATGTCTGTGTTAGACTTTTAGAAAGGCTTTTTTTGTCCTTTTAAATATGTCTGTTATGTCCAGGACATGAAGGAATATTCTTGTTTGATTCCATTTGTGCTTAACTTGTCTTTTGGCAAAGAGAATCCTACAGTGTTTCTGTGATTTAGATATGTTGCTGTATGGGCCACGTTTGACTTCAAGGTCTTTGAGCTGAACTTTGCCAAAAAATAATTTTTGTGATATCTTATCTTTTTTTTTTGGCTGTATCAGATGCCCCTTAACCCCAGTAGTATGACTAAGATTTATGGTGTAGAATCAAGGACAGATTATATTTCTGCAGTGCAAATATTGCTATCAAACAGAACAAAAAAAGGACTATCTTTGGGCTTCAACCATAGGTGTAAAACTGGGATATTTGTCTCCTCCTCTTGGGTGACTGTAGAGATAGCTACATTTTGCCAGCTCTAGATATGATTTTACCATCCTGGCCCTAAATATCCTAGTAGTCTTGATGCCTATGTTGGATATTGATCAATGAAGAGTGCAGTGTGACTTAAATCTCTTTCTGTCTTGAGAAGAAGCTCAGCAGATGAACACGGTTTGTCTCTCTTTCTTTATTGTTTCATAGGAAAAAATAGATCTGCAATTTTATTTGAAGGTAATGCGTGGTTTATTGTGCCTTTGCTTGGAGAAAGGTAATCTTTGTTGCATAGCACTGAAATGCTGTCAGTGAAATAGTTTGTTAGCTTAAACAAAATGTAGCAAAAATAGCTTCAAAATTACTGTGCTTTATCCATGCACAAACCCAATTCTGTTAGATTTTTACATAGTCTCTGTTGCTTATCTTGCCTTATCCTTAGTGTGCTTTCATTTAGCCACTATACTTATTTAGAAGTGAAGAACTGTGATATGGAAGTATTAAGTTGCTTGCCCAAGAAAATATTTGAAATAATAGGTATTTGAGCCCAGGATAGTATACTAGCCATCGGTACAATCTTGCTGTCTATGCAGCAGTCCCTCTATGGCAACTCTGTTGTTCTTTGGATGTTTTCATTTTCATTACTTCCCTAGATTTAATTCAGAGTTTGGCAATATAATATTTAATTATTATATCTAGACTTGTTAATGACATATTTTGTGTCCTAGGTTGGAACCCTGACCAACTTAGTGACCTTCTATGATGGAGTGACTGCATCAGTGGACAAGGGAAGAGCTACAGATGTTGTCTGGCTAGACTGCTGTAAAGCCTTTTACTGCATCCTTCTCTCTAAATTGGAGAGATATGGATTTGATGGGTGGACTGTTTGGTGGATAAGGAATTGTTTGGATGGTCACATCCTGAGGGTAGTGGTCAACATCTCAATGTCTAGGTGGAGATCACTGATGTCTGTTTTGGTGCCAGTACTGTTTAACATCTTCATCAGTGACATGGACAGGGGGATTGAGTGCACCCTTGGCAAGTTTGCAGATGACACCAAGCTGAGTAGGGCAGTTGACATGCCAGAGGAACAGGATGCCATCCAGAGGGACTTGCACAAGCTTGAGAAGTGAGGTCATGTGAACCTATAGGTTCAACAAGGCCAGGTGTAAGGTCCTGCACCTGGGTTGGGGAAACCCATGGTTTTAATACAGGCTGAGGGAACAAGGGATTGAGAGCAGACCTGAGCAGAAGCACCAGGGAGTACTGGTAGATGACAAGCTGGACATGAGGCAACAAGGGCCTGCAACAAGGACATAACCATTGCATGATCTACTTTAAAACTAGCTTATTCTCCTGCTTGCTGTACATAACCATTTTTATGTGTATGTGGCCATCACGCTGGCAAATAGGATATTTCTTGAAGTTGGAGCTTGTGTGCACCTGTGTCTACAAGTTTTGTGTGTGTATATTACACAACTTAAATTCTCTCATATTGAAGTGTAGTAATAAAATGGAGTGCAAAAAACTACGTGGACTGTATAATGAGTATTAAAATCACCTTTGGAATTCAGAAATAACCCACATCTGGAAATGGTTGAGCTCAGTGTCAGTAATCTTCGGTTTGACTTGTAGGGTATTCACCTTGCTATTTCCCTGTGCAGAGCCAGAATATTTATATAAGGAAAAAAGAATTCCACTTGTATTGTAGGCACTGTAGTTCTGTCTTCTGACTGTTACTTTTTGGGGATTTTTTTGTAAATGGTCTTTTAAATAAAAGCTGCTTTAAGTAAGGAGCAATGTTTCAGGATGAGCTGGGTATATAAATGGAAATTTTGCTAAGTATCACAGTGTATAGATTCATGTAGAGAAGCATCTGCTTACTTTACCTGCTTCTGATGTGTATTTGATCATATCTTTTTTTATTATTTTTTTCACTATTTCTCATCTGTTAGTTCTTTGAAAATGATGCAGCTGTAAAGCATGCTACAACCCATGCTATGTGGTTAAAAGAACGAGTCCCTACATTTCAGTCGGAAAATTTTGATTGCTGGCAGTAGAGGAAGAACCCAGCTTGACTGTAAAATCCCATACAAAAATATCTCTTAAACTGTCAGCAGGGCACGCTTTTTGTATCAGACATTTACTGAGAGGTATTGAATATGCAACGTGCTGAATGTTGGTTTTTTTAGAATGAATTTTCAGAGTTGAATACTTTATTAGAGGCATAGAAAGCTATCCCATGTTATAGAAATTATTAAACTCTTTTCTCATTTCTGGTTTATCTGTGCCCTGTAGCCACAGCGTCTTCAGTTGTAACCTATCAGCTCTCATACACCAAATAAGTATGAACATCCTGAGACTTTGAAGAGGAGCTGCAAAGCAGATGGTCATACTTCCTCCTTTAACTCAGGCATTCTCACAGTCCTGAGCAGCTGTGCTGATGAAAAGTACTGTCTTAAAAATCAGATCCAAAACCAAGGTCTTGAATACTTATAATCAATAAAAATCCAATGGCATTTTTGCCAAATATAGGAAATACTACTTCAGGGTTAGCCAGCTTCCATGTTTGAGGCATTACCTTCCTTCTGCATTTGACCAGTTAAAAGATACAGCAATTTTGCTTCTTTTCTAAACTGTCAAGTAGCATTGCAGGGCTTTGTGTAAAAATACATTGTGTATTACCCAAGGAATTTCAATGATGGGTGAAGGTCTTTTTGAACACATATGGTTTGACCAAAATGTATTGTATAGCCACAAGGTATGATTATTAATAAGCAGAAGTGCTCTGATGAGCAAATCCCAACTGAAAAAAAACCCCAAACTTGCTCACTTTGTGTGTGTGGCAAATTCCTCACATGACTGAAGCTGAACTGCTCTGCTGTGTACTGAACGCTGATGTGGTGAACTCGCAGTGTAATGTATTACCTTGTTAGGATTATGATTAGTGTGGTTTTAGGAACTTATTCCATTAAAAGTGAATTATGCACTGCTTTATTTGTTTCAAATTTAGTTCCTTCTCTTCAGAGTGATCTCCTCTAATTTGATTTTATGTCTGACTGAGCAGAATTTTATTCAACTACATGTCTTGGAATGGGTAATGGTGAAAAGATTCGCATTATAAGTCAGTTACCTCTGTTGTCAGTCATCTCAGAAGGCTGCTCATAAATGTAAAAGGGAGATGTGCAGCCCAGACCATTTCTGGAGGGAAGCAAAGGGAAATGTGTCTCATTTAAGCCTTGCATGTTGTAGTGGAAGTAATTTTTTTTCTGTACATATGTATTTTTAATCACTATTTTTTTATGTTGTCAACAATCAAAGACCAGGACTGGGCAGTCAGGATGTGATGCTTCCAGACTGTTAGCATCTTGAGCTCATAGTTTCAAAGAGTGCAAGGGCAAAAGTCATGATTAGCTCATATATCTGATTAAGAGATTACAGCCAGATAACACCCACGTGTCCTTGAATTGAGCCAAGTTTTGAGCTGTTTCAATCCCCCCAAAGAACTGACAGTCCCACTGACAGAGAGTAGGAGGAGTAGAGGGGATGCCGCAGTCTCCAGTATAGAAGCAGAGTTTCATTTCAGGTGTTGTCAGGTACAGGGAGAAGAGAGAGAGAGGCTTTCTCTGTGACCTTGGGTAGCTTAGCTTTTGCATGCCTCACATCAAGTAAAAAGGCAATAAAATAATTTCCACTCTTACAGTGGTGTTTGAATGAATACATTAGAGACATGACTCAGTTCAGTAGTAACGACAGCTAGCTAAACACTCAAAATAGGCAGATATTTTATTTCATTTGTGCTAACTTGGTAGTAGAGCTGTTCTATCCAATTTGAGGTGCTTGTTGCTATAGTGTCTGAACATATACATAGCCATTTCTCTTTCTCTAAGCTGATACTAAACTTTCATAAGGAAATCTGCTTTAGAACAGTCTGTTACCGTGTGGATTTACGCAGGCTGGCAGGTACTGAAATCAAAGTTTTCTCCCAACTAAGGAGCTTTGGGATCTGCCTCCATGTATTTGTTATACAAAATGTTCTGCCCATTTATTATCCAAACCACTGCATTTTCAATCTTGTATCATTTTTTTCAGCACAGTTCATGAGAACCTATTGCTTTTGAAAATAATTTCTTTCCCTAGCTTGGCAGTATCATGAAGCATGGTTCTGCTAGGTTCTTCATTGCTCTCACAGTGCTCATGTAGCTTCCATTATACAGCACATAATACAGAAAATGTGGTCTAATGCCAAGTAAGAGATTTTCACATTGGATAGCCTGCTATGGAAAACAGGAGAATACTCTCCTACTACCTTCTTTTATTTTGG